GGCATGGTGGCTCATGCCTGAATCTCAGAACTTTGGGCAGCTGAGGTGGGTGGACTGCTTGAGCCCAGGAGTTCAAGACCAGCCTGGGTAACATGGCAAAACCCTATCTCTAAACAAAAAAATAATGAAAATTAGCCTGGTGTAGTGGCACACACCTATGATCTCAGCTACTAGGGAGGCTGAGGTGGAAGGATCTCTTGAGCCTGGGAGGTTGAGGCTGCAGCGAGCTGTGATAGTACCACTGCACTCCAGCCTAGGTATCAGAAACCCTGCAGGGGAGGAAAAATCATGGAAATAAAATACATACTTTCACTTGTTTGTATTTGAATTAAGAAACTTTGGAGGGTTACATCTTGTTTCTTGTGGCAGAGGGTCAGGCAAGAACTAAGTAAATGGTCAACAAGGATATGTGAGTGGGTATCTTTCTACTCTATATATGTACATCTTAAAGTTTAAACTATGCTAATATATTACTTTTTAAATTTTAAATTTTGATAAAGAAAACTTGTATATAGCAAATATTTCCTGTCAACAAAGCTGAAAAACAAATTAAATGTAATTACAACAAACGTAGCAAACAAAGCCTTAGTATTTGCAGTATGTAAACTATTCCTTCAAATCAGTAAGAAAAAGACACTCCATATGAATCCATGAAAAGAATATGAATTTGAACAGATATCTAACTGAAGAGAAATTATGAATATGTTCAGAGTATAAAACATATTTACTCTCAACACTTATCAGAAAAAGGTAAATTAATACAAAAAAGATACCATTTTCATCCATCAGGTCAAATTAAGGAGGTTTTATTGAACAATGTCAGATATGTGACAAAAAGTCACCCTTGTGGGAATGTTGATTGGTTCTGACATGTTGAAGTGTAATTTGGCAGCATTTAATAAGATTAAAAATCTGCATATCCTACAAACCAGAAATTTCACTTCTGGATATGAATCCTAGACAAATTCCTGCAACTGTGCACAAGGAAGCACTTATCAGGATGTTCCTCTTGGCTTGTATTTAACAAACACTCATGTAGCACTTACCACATTCCAGTCATGATTCCAAGCACTTTACAAATATTACCCCATACAATCCTCATAACAACTCTAGGAGGTAAGTACCATTAAGATCCTCACTTATAGATTAAAAAAAAAATACTAACATAACAAAAATGTTGAGGACATTGCCCAAGGTTATGTGGCTTGTAAATGGTAGGACTGGATTTGAACTTAGGCTGGCAATCCAGCTCAAGTGTGCTCTTTCAACCCTAAACCCACATTACCTCTTAGTAAAATTCTGCAAACCACTTAGAGCTTCATCAATAGAGGAATGGATATAATGGAATAGAGGAATGGATATACAAAATGCACTATATTCATAACATGAAATGCTATCAGCAACTAAAAGTATAGCTATCTGTCTATCTATCTATCTATCTATCAATCATGTATGCATCCATCTATAGGTAGCTATATCATTTATGTACATATGAATAACTCTCAAAGCATAGTTGAAAATTTTTTCAATGTAAACAATTTTATATGAATATAAATTATTTATAAATGAATGCCTCTCAAACCTTAAAGACTGCATTTCTTTATGAAGCTCAAATATTCTGATGTAGTGATTTTGCTTTCTGAAATATCTCTTTAGATAAATCTGTTTCAATTCTAAAAGCATTGATAGAAATCTAATTTTATGACATTTTCAAATCAGTTGATCTTTTTATCATGACTGCATTGCAAAAACAAAAATTCAAGTCAGGTCAGAATTTTTTTTCTGTAGCTGAGTGAATCTTAGTTATATGTGGTTATACAATTTCATTTTACAATTTATTAATGTTTTTCCTATTCAAAAATAACATGATCGGTGCAGAAAAATCAGTAAGAGAAGTAAAATAAGGCATTCTTGTGACCTCATCAGAGCAGATATCCACCTTTCACACCCTGATGATTAGTTTCTTTCCCTCCCTCCCTCCCTCCCTCCCTCCTTCCTTTCCTCCCTGTCTCCCTTCCTTCCTTCGTTCTTTCCTTCCTTCGTTCCTTCCTTCGTTCCTTCCTTCGTTCCTTCCTTCCTTCCTTCCTTCCCTCCTTCCTTTCTTCCTTCTCCCCTCTCTCTCTTTTTCTGTTTCTCATTTATTCACCTATCTGGATATTTATCCATGAAAAAATAGAACCTGTTTCTCTCCTATGAATAAAGCTAGTTATCTTACAGCAGATCTGCTTTTTTCAGGTAAGAGTCACTTGATTCTTTCTTTTAGTTATGTACTGAAGAATGAAGATGTTCTCATTGTCCTTGGAAATGTATTGTGAAAACTTTCCTGGTCTTAAAAAAGCCACTGTTCACAATAGTCCTTGAAATGCAGACGCCATCCTGATAAGAGATGGATCAATTTCTCTTTAAAAACAAAACAAAACAAAACGAAGACAGAAAATATTCAAATGTTGGAGCATGGTTAAGATGAAAAAATATATAATGCATTATAGAATATAAATGGATTATTATTATTATATCATTTTGAGACAGAGTTTTGCTCTTGTTGCCCAGGCTGGAATGCAATGGTGCAATCTCCGCTCACTACAACCTCCACCTCCCAAGTTCAAGTGATTCTCCTGCCTCAGCTTCCTGAGTAGCTAGGACTACAGGCATCGCCACCACGCCCAGATAATTTTTTTTTTTTTTTTTTGTATTTTTAACATAGACGGGATTTCTCAGTGTTGGTCAGGTTGGTCTCGAACTCCCAACCTCAGGTGACCCACCCGTGTCAGCCTCCCAAAGAGCTGGGATTACAGGTGTGAGCACCTAGCCAATGGAATATTATTTTATATTTAAATGATATAGGTAAACATTATTAATCTGAAAAGATGTTTGCAACATATGTGAAAAGAGATTATATTATTCAGTATAATCTTTTTTTTTTTTTTAAAAAAAAAAGATATAAATATGTAACCTATCGGTCCCACTTCACTGTATTAGGGAGCAAATGTGGTCACATCAATTTTATTTTTCTAATTAATGTTCACATTCTCACTTCTCCTTATTATCAGAAACTATTTTCCTTTTATGCTAAACATGTCTCCATTGTCTCCAGTTGGAGATTTCTCAGTTTAGATTAGTCTTGCTTCCAAATGTCAGCTGGAGAGAGAGTCTGACAAGCCTACAATTATCAGTGTTGTAGATATCATACTGTGGGTCACTGAGGACTAGTTAGTTGTGCAGGCTCTTAACCAAGACTGCTCTAGGGTTGTAGCTTTCAAAGTCTGGGTCCCTGCCTCAGTGGTGCCCAGGCTTGGTCCCAAGGTCTCAGCTACTCAGATCTCTGTCACATGTTCAGCCTCAGAGGAAGGGCTTTCACTATCAGCCACAGCTGGACCCAAATCCTTAGGCCCTTGAGTCTGAGTCATCAGGTGAACCTCCTCCACTGCTTCTCCACCTGGAGCCATTTCTGTGAGCAGACCATGGACTTGTTCCTTTCTGTATGACCTATCATGTTTCTCTGACTTCAAGTCTTGGCGAGAATTTTCCCTTTCCATTGTTTGCTATTATAAGACATTCGCAGCACTGTGATGAATGTCTTTATAACCGAGTCCTAGAAATTGAATATCTGGATCCAAAGGTGCACATTTTTATAGATTTTTCACAAGCCAAATTGACCTTCAGAAAGGTTTCCTGCACCCAGGAGAGCCCTCCCACGAACCTAGGTTAGGCCAATTCCGTCAGGTGGAAAGTTTTTAATAGTAAATGGCAGAAAACCCAAAATAAAATTACTTAAGCTGTTAAGGAATTTATTAGCGTATACTGAAGGTTAGATCTTGCTAGCTTTAGGGGCAGGTGGTTTAAGGGGCCAAAATGAAGTTAACAGTTTTCTTGGTGGCAAAAGGACAACAGCAGCCAGACCTTATACCTTCTTGTCATCAAGCCGAGCAGCTTAGACTTTTTTCTCCCAAAGTTGAGCATTCATCGTTGTCCTCTCATTGGCCTGGGAGGTGTCACACACCTCCCCTGCATTAGTCATTACAATTATGGGAATGCAATTACTCTAATTTGGCTAAGACCAATTAAGGCCCATCCTATTTGTGGCCATCAACTCTACCCAAAAAGATATGGTTTCCTAAGGGAATTTGGGTGCAGTTTTGACTAGAAGTTGAGCAAGTGAATGTTGAGTGGCAAACACAGGGGAAAGTAATCTTCACCCCATGAGTAGTCCCTTTAATTGATCCAGCAATTTATTTACATGTAGTATGATTACCTCTGAATGGAAATACTTATATTTCCACTTGTACACCTTACACCTGACTCTCCCCACTGCAAGCTTCCCCCCCACGCACAATCCCCCACCACACTCACATGGTTTGATTGAAAGCTCTGGTTGGAAGAGGCTCAGAAATGTTTTATCACCTCATGTGTAGGCAAAACCTCAGATAAATAAGAGAAGAAAGCCCATGCCATACACTTAGAGGGAGAGAAGAGCCTCCAGATATAATAATCCACTGGGCACCACCAATTAATTTATGCATTAGAGGTTTTAAAGTGCATTCTTCTTAAAAGAGAGAGAGATGAGGCAATGTGGGAGTGCTTGTGAGGGATCCCCAATGAATTAGGTCTGAAGAGAGGAGTTCTATATTTGGATGGTAAAAGGAAGGGAGTTAGCAATTTGGGTAGATGCAAGAAGGAACCATGCGGGCTCAGAAAAATCCCTAGTGCTACCAGGGAAGTTTCATTCAGTTGTTTTGTGTTTTGTAAGCGATACCAATAATATAATTAGACTTTTGCTCCTTCACACTAGCCATTTTTGCTTCTCTTGTGGTATTTTTCTTCTATCATATTTGGCTTAAATACTATCTCATTCCAGTGCTTCCCTTCCTCCATTCCTTTCCCAAGCCTTTTTTCTGATGCCTGCTAAAAGGCCCCACATCTGATATTAACCTAAAACTTCCTTGATTTCTTAAAGTGAGTTATTCATTAACAGAACCTAAATTACTGGTTGTTAGGCAAATCTAATTCTTTTAAACTACGGATCTGCTCAGAGAAATCTGCAAATCTCGTGTAAAAATAAGTGAAGCTTTGTGCCAATTATTAGGCCTAAGCAGAAGTTTGGGAGAGAGAGAAGTTACTTATTTGCCTGATTCCGCACGCTGAGTCCATGGGGAGGGAATGAAGTGTACCGCTGGCTTGACAAGCAGCACAGGGAGACGCGGCTGCAGCCCACAGGACTGGGCAGCAGCTGCAAGGCTGCCTCTGAGCATGGTCATGGGTCCCAGCCGCAGTGCTCTAAAGATCAAGAATTTTGCCTTCTATTTTCTATGACCAGAGATTCCCATGCAAAGAGGTATGGCTATTTTCTTTCATGTCCTTTTGTTCAGCAAAAACAAAAGCTAATTAAAGTAAATGTCAGAGGCTGCAGAGAGGCAGAGTGGGGATAGGAGAATGGAGCTGAGAAACTTCCAGGGGCTGGCTGATTATGCAGATAGAGCGCATTTGGGAGCTGTGTGTCTAGCCATGTATGCATGCATTTCGGTTATTAGGGTAAAAAAGCCACTTCTCTGTGGGTTATTAAAACATGTCTCTAGGCCTCGGGAGCAGAAAACTGTGCTTCTAGATTCATATTATGTGCATTTTTGTTTTGCTCCATAATAATCTAGTCTGTATATTACTATTTTATACATTTGTTTACCTCAATCAACATTTTGCAACCAACAAAGAAACTGGCTCTGCCTATGAATTTTCAAATAAAATTAAATACTGTAGCATCTTTATAGTCAGTAGGTTGAACAGGGTCACCATTACTGTTGGCTGCTGCTGCTGTTTTTTCCTTTGGTGTTTCAGATATCTTAAAAATCATAATTAAATCTAACCACTTTTTTGTTCTTTCAGATACATACTTAAATTGCTATAGTAGTCAACCATTGAATTAAATGACATTTATATATTTTCAATTTAAAAAGCAAAAAAAAATTTAGAGAATTATTTAAGTTGGCCATAAAGATATTTAGTAAAGGAAACTTAAATATAAATGAAGATACACTTAACATTGAGTTTTCCTTGTAGTTTGAGAGTTTTGGTACATTTTCTGAAGGAACAAACCCACAGAATTTGAATTAGGATTTTTCAGCAAGGTTTGTATTATTCCAGAGCAAAAATGACCTGCAAAGTCAAAATTTACAGGTGAAAATAAATACAGTGTAAAATTATGACAAGTCATAAAAGCCTTGATTTTAAAAAGTTTATTAGACTTGAAGATAAGTATTTTCTCATTCTTCTGGAAGGAAGTGTTTCCTATTTGTGTTTTAATACGTTGAAATATGTAATCAAAATTAAGTAGCTTTTTGATCTCTTGCCTAAATAGGTCACCAAACCTATTTCTTTTTAATATACTTATGAAATAAGCTTGCTACAAACTTAGATTGTGTGCACTCCAGCAAAAAGACAGGGCTGAGTCTTTTAGGATCGCTTGGAATAAGTCAGCCTCAGAGGCTTTCAGTAGAAGTGAAGTGTAGCAACGCGTCACAGCCAAGGAAGCCCTGAGAAGTCCAGGGAACAATAGACATCTTGTGGGAAGGGCTGAAATGTATGCAGCCAATTCCCATGGGAACGCCTGTAGTCCTTTCACGCTGTGTGAAAAAGATGCTCCTTCAAAAGAAACTTTAATCCTTTCTTTCAAGAGAAAATCTGAGAACTTTATTGAAAGTTTCTAGAACTGAAATAAGTCTAAGTTTGTTAATGAGAATTTTTTTAATACAGGTGAATAAAACGAAAATATTTTGATACATAGTAACATAGTCTAAAGCATAATGTAAATAAATTTTGCCTTTCTGGAATTTTCTGAAGTGGGACAGCCAGGGAATATCCTAACCTAAGTTGCAAGCTAGAGGCTGAATTCTTCAGAATAAATTGGTTTCTTGAGTTAATTATGGTGATTGAAATATCTCCCAAGAGTTTCAATTATTCTACAGGCAGTATCCCAATAGTGTGGCAATTAAGTCCTCTGGTTCGTGTATATTTTTATTTAGCAGAATCTACAAATGCATAATAGAGTAAGCCACTAATGTTTTATTAGTGGGTATTGAGTGTAGGTCACCTTATAAGTTGTAAAGAAAGTAGCTGGTGCCCTGAAGGGGCACTCCTTTCTCACTAATAAACAAGGGAAGGAGTGCTACACTTCCATGGAAAACTCAGGTGTTTGGATTACCCGCCACAAAAAGTTTGAGGTACATTGTATCCCAGCCCATTTCTGCTCTATAAAAACATTCACTGTTATTGTTCAACCTTGGCAGGGATAGGATCACAGTAAAGCTATCTCTCCAGGAAACAAGATAAGGTTGCCAAAAAATCAACAGGGATACATTCAAGAGACTGAAGTTTATAGATGAAAAGTGAACAACCCAGGGTTAAGGACAGAATGACTAAGATAGGGAAAGGACAACTAAGATATAAATATGGCACAAATGGAAACAACCTAAGCATCTTTAGCTCTGTGAACTCAATTTAGTGAACAGTACAGTAGTGTATTAGTTTTTAAAAGGTATGGCATGGGATGTGTTAACTGGTGGACCATCTAGAGGAATAATAGTACTCCTAAGGATATGATTGCTGGCACTTCTTCTGTGGTTGCCATATGCCAGGCTCTGTGTTAAAAGTTTTACATCATCTCCTGAAACCTCCCAATGACCCATATCAAAATCCTCAGGAGCAAAGGAGGAACTCGAGGCTCAGGAAGGCTAATTAACCTGCCCACATTTACATTGTAGGTAATGGCATAGCTGAGCTTGGAACCCCGTTGAGTCCAGATTCCCATACTCTTATCACTCTGCTCTTTTTACCAGAGTTCCATAGAATGTTCAATTCCGGACTCTACACAATTTAAAAAAAAAAAAAAAAAAAAGAAAGAAAACTGCATAAAAATGTAATAATTAAAAATCAGTAATAATGAATAGAGGATTAAAAGGGAGGGCTAAGGCAATATCATCTATTCCATTAAAAGAGGAGACTTCATTAGTATCTTGTAAATTAGAAAACTACCAGTGAAAAAATACAGCTACTCATAAATGACTGGATTCTTGATTTTTATACAGGAATTCTTCAAGGGGATAGTTCTCCAAATGTGGATGGCATAAAAACATGATTGATCACCAAGTGTCTAGACAGATTTATGAGGTCATTCTCCTGGAACATATGACCTGGTTTAACTGTGGTCACCCTGACCACACTCTTTGAATAGACACATCCTAGTGAGCACAAAGATGAGATTATCTGCATGATAGCCACCTGTACGCATTGCCAGAAGAGAGAAGATTTGACAGCTATAGATCTACCACAGGAACAGACGACTTAGGGGTAGAGGAGAATGCAGGCTTTAAAATTGTCCTTTTTAAAGTGCACTGTTAACTGTTTAAAGGAAGTTTCCAGTGCCCTTTTCTCCATCAGAGTGTCAATAGATTAAGCAGGATAAACCTTTTTTCTGAGAGTTGCTGCAATATTTAAAAGTACAAATCCAACATATCTGGTCCACGTGGATTTTTATGAAGAACTTCCCAGCAAATAAGGAAACAGAGAGAGTATGTATGTTGTGAAGTAAGTTTGTTCTGTTTATTAGCAACTTCCCGCATACTTAAACTTTCAACAATATTACTCTAGAGGCAGAGCAAAGGGATATTTTCTTTAGGAGTTGACTCTTACTGGACGAACGCTCAGTGTTTCCAAAACCTATGTGAAATCTCAGGGAGAGGGAAGTGTTAATGAAGCTGCAGTTCTCTGCTCCACCCCTGGGGCTCTGAGGGCTGGCTCCCTGCAGCCATTCGGTTCACCTGCTTGAGTTCCTGTTGAGAACTGTTTCCTGCGTGGCTCGCCCCCGCCCCCATTCTTCCCTGGGAAAGTATAGATTTTCAAGAACACAAGGAGTTCTGTTTTCTCTGTTAAAAACAACTCTCCTTTACTGGAGCAGGCTTTGTGTTTCACCCCAGGAAACAGAGCGTTGCACTGGGAGGTAACTCCGCTGGGTGAGGTGCAGCCTGTCACCTGACCGGTCTCTGGGGCCGCCGGTGCCATCAGGCTGCATTCCTTGAATTCTTCCACCCGGCACCCGCTCCGCAATGAACAACTACAGGTTCACTGAGCTGAGCGGATTCCACTCGCTGTGGCCTCGGAGCCTGCCTGAATCTCCCGCCCAGTCTCAAACCTTGCCGCTGAGTAACTGCAAGGGCGCCTTTGAGGAGTAGCACGCAGGTAAAGCGAGTTTGCGCGGGGTAGCTGTGACTCCCTGAAATGTGCCACGCTTGGCGCAGTCATTTCTGTTTCTGTGGTTTCTGTTTCTCCTTACAGAAAGCTGATTCGCCAGCCAATATCTGTTAAAACAAACAAACAAACAAACAAAAAAACCTAAATAATGAGAAGGTGGGCCTCCGATTAGAGCCACTTAAAGATTAGAGAAAGAAATTATGAAGGAAGCAAACTAAAGGCAGTAAGAAAGAATTTTATAAGCCGGTTTTTAAAAGTTATACAAAAAGTAGGAGACTTTGGAGTCTGACTTACCTGCATGTGAATCTTGGCTCTGTGTGTAACTTTAGGCATAACACTTAACCTCACCCGTCCTGTTTCCTCTTAGGTGATAATATCTACCAGCAGGGCTGATGGGAGAACCAAGAGAAGAAAGTGTCTAGTGTCTAGCAAAAAGGTTGATGTTTAGAAAGTATGTGCACATATGTGCATGTGTGTACATATGTGTGCTTGTGTGTAGATGGTGCATGTATATGTATACATGCACACAGGCCACAGGTCTATGACATTCATAAGGATAGGGAGTTTCTCAGAACATGAGGTAGAATTTGATCTGGCTCTGACCATTCTGCTATTACAAAAAGACCAGCAGGAGAAGCCAGACACCTGAGCAAAATATTGAAGAGAGCTGCTGAAAAATAAATAACGTGCCTTGCCAGCCTTTATCTAGGAAGGGACGTGCAGCATGTGGAGGTACTCACTGAATGAGAGCTGATGAGAATGGAGGTGGCTCAATAATAATCTCACACAGTCATGAATACAACTATCCTGGGAGACCAGCTGCCTTCAATCCTGACTCTGAAACTTACCTTTCAGGTGCCTCTGGGGTGGTGGTTACTTTCCTCTCTAAACATCAGTTTTTGATTGCATGGAGTTGTCATAAGAATTAAGTAATTCAATATGTGGGAAGCACTGAGATAAGTGCCTGACATATGGCAAACCCCCACCAAATATCAGTTGTGTCATTATTTTAGAAAGGGATTGTCTACACATTATCACCTGTGACCCTCAAAACACCCTGGAGAAATAGACTAGGTGTGCATTAACCCCATTTTGCAGATAAGAAAACCAAGCCTCAAGAAAGGAAAAAAATGTGAACTAAAGGTCCCACAGCAGCTGAGTAGCTGAGCTGAGACTTGATCCTCAGTTTCTAGATGAGCAGATGACTTAGTATGAACTCAGCACAAGGTGCACTGAATAAAACCCTATAAAAATCTTAGCTATCCTGAAAGGTGCTTCTCAAATGCCATTTCCTCCATAAAGCTAATCATTATCATTTTCCACTGTAAGTGACTTCTCTCTCCCTTGTACTTCCCCAAACTTCTTTTTGTATTATCCAGGAGATTTTTCTCTTGGTTATCCCCATGTTGTAGAATGTGTTTTGAAGATCACAGCTGAAAATGCACAAGAGAGCCCTTTGTAAAATAATGTGCAAATATTACCTCTCCCCAGTCCACCCCTAGATTTGTGAAAGCTTTCCTGCATGGCTGTGTGCTAAATAACTTGATGTTTCTGTTTAGGGCCCAAAGCAATGTTTTGCATGTAATGTACCCTCAAGAGTAGGAGCTGATGTTGGAAGCATAAATGTGGGACTCCACACCAGGTGTCATGTAAATGTGGAGCGTGCAGAAAGAGCCCAGGCAAAGCTTGGGGGTGCCCTTCTATACTAGCACGTATTTCTGCTCCTTCTTGGAGCTCCTGAGCATCTATGGCTGGGGCAGCTAAACCTATTTCATGGAATGCTGGATGTCCAACAAGCTGATGGGTCAGGTGAAGTCATTTCCATCCACCTTTCCTGAGTATTATTTTATTGAGACTCTTGTCACTGTAAATGTCTGAACCTGGGAGGAAACTGTGTTAAGAGAAAAATGTAGGAAAATGCTGTGCTGATTTTTCTTATAGATATTGTGATTCATCCTTCCACATTTGCCAGGTTGCAAACTGCTTTGCTGTACCTCACTCTGTGCTCCACTTCTCTCTGAAAGCTTACCACTCTCCTTTGCTCTTCCTCCAAGCATCTCCTCTTCTTGCTCTCTGGTTGCTCTAAATCCCAGGGCACAGATGGGTAAGGATCCAGGAGCTGTGTAGGAGGGAAGAAGAATTAATTTTCTTGCTTGATAACTATGCTCACACCTTCATCACTAAATATTAATAATGCTCGGAGGACCTTTACTCCTAACAGTAGCCTCACATCTTACATGGAGTCAATATTTCATAATGGTTATGAACTCGGAGTCTAGCACTACTGGATTCTGTGGGTTCAAATTCCATCTCTCCAGCTTGGTAGTTGCATGGCTTTAGCAGTTATTTGACTACCTCAGGTTGCTTACCTATAAAGGGAGGTTGATATATCTCCATATAGTTATGAGGATTAAATGAATTAATATTTACAAAGTGTTTATGCCTGGTACATAGATAAAGGTATGTAAGTATCAGGCATCATTTTTCAAAAGTTGGTAGATAGTATAAAAACAGCATATAGGCACTATTGCCCTTGAAATCCCTAGGGCCCATGAATCGTACCACTTAGAATACTACAGATTGCTTATTTAGTTGAGTGTCTTATGAAAGATTTGGCTTGTATTTAGAGGCCATGTTGTATGAAGCCTTTGTGTCTTTAAACTTGCACTCAACACAAAGAGATGCTCTCAAAGCAATAGCTCAGAGGAGAGGTCTGAGACTACCCAAGGGAACAATAGACTCTCCTCTCCCTTTTCACACTCTTTCTGGCAAACACATTCAGAGTAAAATGCTAGGCAGAATTGCCTATTGCTTATATTAAATAACTCACTCTTGGCTCTCACTATCTAATCATGTGGCTGCATTTGTATATGTATAAGGTGATTCCACTCTACTGTAAACTGTGAGGGAAGTCCACTGGACTGAAATCAGGAGACTAGCCTTGCCACAGCTATTATGGGGCCTTAGGGAAGTCATTAAACCTCACTGGCCATTAAATGATTACTAAGATCTCTACTAGTGCAAATGGTCTGTGATTATATTAGGCCCAGAAGAGAGCTGATGAGAATAATCAGATGTCTAATTTGTGCCATTGCCCTACTCTCTGTAGACTGTTAATTGGGTGAGAAATATAGTGGGACTTTATTATTTCAACTGTGGGAATAGAGGGAAGGTTGCCTCATCTCAAAGCCCTCCTCTTTAGCCTGCATGGCAAGGCTATCATGTTCAATTTCAGTGATCAAGTTCATCTTCACATTCAGTAGAGACTTATCTAACCCCACTCTCCTAAGCAGCATCCTTTATTTCATTGCTATTTGATTATAGAATACATAGGAGTAGGGTAAGTACTGAGGTCACCTTTTCAACTGATGGAGGGGGGAACTTCTACTGCTAGCATAGCGAAGCAGCCCTACCAAGAGGGTAAGCACTGGTTTCTTTATCCTGGTTCTGGAAGACAGGGTTCCAGGAAGTGGGTCTCGGTGGTGTTTCCTATGCTCCTTCTTTTCTTTTGTTCTCCCTTTCTGTTTGATTCTGATGAGAAGCTGCTTGAGGAAAATCTGGCAAGTATTAGGCATGATTGTTGCTTGTCCTTGTGACATGGAGAGAAGAGAAGGATGTAGAAAGGAGAAAATGAGGCTCATGTTGACTTTTAAAGTTCAAATTAAATTCTGGAGAAACCTAGTAATTTTTGACAAGACTTTTTGAGGCAAAAACAAAGACAGAGCTCATTTAAAGATGATTAAGCCAGGATCTGTTACTCTAGGCACATGTTTCCAAATTTCTTTTTTCTCTCTCTCTCTCTGCTGGACACGAGGTTCACATTCTGAGCTTATGCCATTCTGCTAGTGGCTATATTGTGTCATTTGTTTCCCTTGCAGAGAGTGTCAATGAAGACCTCAAAGTCTGGAGAAAAATGACCTTTCATGGAATACAAAATATACCTCCTGCTACGTGTTTTTGTCTTACTGACCTCTGATAACTGAAACACATGGCTCTGAGTCTGTAGAAAGTCAACTGATCAAACTCCTCCTCGCCATGCATCAACTTTTCAGACTGGTTTTGGGACAAAAAGATCTCTCACGAGCTGGGGACCTCTTCTCCTTAGATGACTCTGAGATTGAAGACAGCCTGACAGAAGCTTTGGAGCAAATTAAGATAATTAGCTCATCTTCAGTAAGTAAACTGTTTTATAGACTACATCTCTGAAATGGCCTATCCTAGAGTTAGAGATTTGTATATATCCTGGCAGAAGGATCTTTGCAGAGGAAAGAGGAAATACCACTAATATTGGTCTCCCTTAACTCTGCTTTGTGGTTTTGTTGGCATCTAAGAAATAACAGTAGGGAAGTCATGGCTTAGGGAGCAGTTAGATCATCTTTTGCCCACACACAAAGACTAGAATTCTGAACATTGCAGACCAGCATGGAATTCTCACAAAAATATTATTTAGGGGCTATTTTTATATCCTTGAAATGACACTGAGAGGAGAGAGAGCAAATTCAGGGGAAAAGCAGGCCTGCAGAGCAGCACAATAGCATCAGTAAACAAGAGCAGGGTATGTGGGAGAGGCTGAATAATGAAAGAAGGCAGGATGACACCTCCTGTCACGCAGGTAATATGAGACAAGGACAACGATCGCTCTGCTGCCAGAAGTGACAGTTGCCCAGGGCTTGATAAGCTGATTCTGCTTATTTCTGTATTGTCTCTATTTTTTATCTTTCCCTTGCTTCTTTTTCTACCCACTCACACCCCTGCCCCTGGGACCTGCCATTTAATTCTACCCACCCATTATTAGTCCCCAGTGTGATCAGACAGATATAAAACCTCCCATCAATCTTTGCATTCCTTTGCTTCTCTTCAATGTCAAGACTGTATATTCTGAAAGCACTTCCCAAAGGATATGGATGTGGAGTGCCCCGTGTGGTTTGATGTTGACCTTCTTGATTGCACTTGGACCCTCTATGAGGCTGGTCTCACTTCAAATGCCTAAGGTCACCAGGCATCTGCCCACATCCTCCCTGCTCAGCAGCGTTTGCCAGTACTTGGCACAGACACCCACTGGGAAAAGGAAAGTGGTGGGACTCAAGCCATACAATACTGAATTGGCAAGTGTATGCATATCTCAGAAACAATAGCGCTCTTCCATGTTACAAAGAAGAGATGTTTAAAAGGTATCCTGGCAACACATGCAGCCTCCTCTTCAAGCCTATTTTCTCTTGCTGGCTGCCATTAATATGCCAAACTCTCCTCAGTGACCAATGAAGTCACTGAACAAAAGCTCTTCTTTTCTCAGGTAATGCTTTGACGACAATTACTCATCCACATCTTTTCCAGAACATTATTTAACTTAGTCTGACTCAAAGCCCAACATGTTCCTGGTACATTTTCATTTTCTGGGTAGGATTTTTGTCCTATTTTCAGAAGCTCCTTCCTTCACACTCCTCTGCAAATAAATTGGCGAAAAACACTGATTTTCATCTTCTTAATAGGAAAACAAAACAAAACAGAAATCAAAGATCATTTAAGTTCCCTAAAGCCTACTTCCACTAGAGGTCACTAGTGGCCAGTTATTGCTTTTGTTTCCTTCATTAATTGCTTTGTTTCACAGACATCAAATTCAGAATTTTAGGACTGTGACTCAGTTCTGTTATATAGCTCCACTGGTTAACTATTAAGGCTGGCAGGTCCCTTGTCATTAGGATCATCATCCATTCCTTCAATTCTCCAAATAGGATCTCACTCTACCAGGAGGTCTGGAGAGACAGGAGTTCCTGTGTCTTCTTCATTTACTAACTTTTACCACATCTTACTTCTTCCATTTCTCTATCTGTAACCATGTCATGGAACAGAAGAAAACTGGTAGCTTCTAATTTAAATATATCAAGTTTGAGGTGACCAATGCCAGGAGCTTCTTATCTTCCTTTTCTGATTAGTGCTCTGAACTACCATGCCTGCTTTGTGGCTTACTCCCCTGTTAGCTGCGTCCCATCCTTCCCTCACATCCAGCCCCAGCTATTCCTCACTAGGCCTTTCCTAATGACCCTGGATCTCAGTAATCAATTCCACCTCTCAATTTCTCTTCAGAAACATAGAACAGAAAGGGAAGACCCCTTTCTAAATCGCCTTTTCCAACAACCAGCATAGAAGATTGCTGAAAAATAGGTGGCTTTCTCCTGCACTTGCAATGATGGGAATATGGTGCGTTTCTAGTATTTTTACTTGCTCCTCAATTTTCGTTTGGTAAATTGTCCCTTTACATTGCATGAAGCCTTGATGGTGTCTCCATCAAGATTCCCTGCTCTTGATGCCACTACCCTTCCCTGTCAGGGGTCGGGGAGAGAAGATTTTCAAGCTTGAAAATCAGAATTTTTTCCCAAGTAATTTAAAGGAAGATACCAGCAGAGAGTGATTCATCATGAGGATGGTGCCCCAAAGAAACAGTTCTTTACTTTCTGCCCCTCTATCCTTATAGCTGCCTTGATCACTGCCCCCTTTAAGGCCTGGCACTTCACTTTCTCCTTCAAATATGTGGCCCACTTATTATCTTTTTATTATTGCTATTATTATTATTATTTGCTATACTTATTCAGACTTCCTCTGTTGCTTATGATCAAAGAACCCTGAGAAAGATGTTAGCTGTTTCATTGTTGGGAGTTCAAATGGTTAACATGTTCCTCCTCTTAGCCGGATGAAATCTTACTTTGTACTTTCTACCTGTTGTCTCTGTTCTGTTCTCTGCCCACAACAATCAAAAGAGTCTAACCTCTGTTTCTACAAGAAAAACTTTAAACCGTTTGAAGATAAGCACCAGGCTTCACCTCTGGCTTGTCTCCTCCCAGCTAAACATCTTAGTATCCTTGGGTTTTTCCATGACAAAGAAGGAGCCTGTGTCAGGGAAAGGTTACACCATCTCATGTTGTAACCCTCAACTATCACAGCTGGAAAACTCAACTTTGTTGGTACATGAGAAATGCTATCTAAGTCATGCTATCCAAATACAAGACTTGAATATATAAATTAGAAAAGGATTTGTTGATTTACAATGAAAATTATAACTCATACACATCAGAATGTTGCTCTCCTCAAGTCTGTTTATTCAGTCTTTCTTTGGATAAGAAATACTATTATTGACAAGGTTTCTTCCTCCTCTATGAGAATCACATTCCAGCCCTTCCTCCCTGAGATTACATCTAACTCACTTGCAGTGTCACCCATGAAAAGATAATGTCTTGGTTTAGGCCTGTAGCTGGTTAATCCCACTCATACTAGCGGACTTTATTGGTTTAATCCTCAAAGGACAATCTTGTTTCTACGTTGTTAGAGAATGCTTCATTGAAGCTTCTAAGTACTGCCTACACTCTTAACATTCTGGTTACCCTCCTCTGGAATAGTCCTAATTTATTATTGTAATTTATCATTGCCCAATATTTGGACCCATTGCTTAGAACAACTACTAATACTTGTCAAATATTCTGTCCTTTTTTACAAATCAGTTGTTCACATTTGTCCTGCGACGTGCTAAGGCATTCAGGTTGAATCAAGACTTGTAATTAGATAAGTCTAAATTTTTTGAAGTGTATTATGCCACATTTTAAACACTGCAAAAAATATTCTGGTCTTTAGGCTCTCATTCCAGAATATCTATGCGTTTTAAACATCATGATTCTGTCAAATATATGCTTTTCACTTTCAGCTTTGTGGAATCCAAAAATTTGGCAAGCAAGCCTCCAATGCTTCCCCTAAAGCCACTCACAAAATAATTGAACCTTACTAGATTTTGCTCTCCAGTCCATGTCCTCTTTTTCTACCAGTTATTCCAAAATACTGCTATGGGATGTTTTGCCCTCATGCTTTACTTTGAAAACGTGACTCTTCAACTCAATATCCTCTCCAAGTTCCCAAACATACTTTAAGTTTTGTCTTTTCATTTCGAGTCCTTTCTAGATCACTTTTACCTGATAATCATTTCTTGTACTAACTTGGCTTTCTTCCCAGACTACTCCAAGTGAGATTGTTTCCTTATGCACTTATCCCCTTCTCCCACCTTTCCATTGGTGTTCACCTCATACCCAACTGATCCATCTGCCTTCCAGTTCTTTTAACAATGAAACACACCAGGCACAAAGAATCACCAACTTTAATATGTTAGGTACAATAAAAAATCCCTGCATGTCTCTTTTTAATCCAATTCTCCTCCCTTATGGTTCCCAAGGTAACCAATATCCTGTTTGTGTATTTAGCTATGCATGGTTGGTTTTTGTTTTTGTTTTTGCTACGTATGCATGGTTCCAAAGTGAATTATAGCATAGTATTTGGTATTTTTAGACTTTATATAAATGTTATCATAGGGATCAAATTATGTTTTTGAGATTTGTCTATATTGGTACATGTAGTTTCAACTCATTTATTTTTGCTGAGACAGAGTATTCCCTTATATGAATGTGTTACAATGTATCCGTTCTTTTTTTTTTTTTTTTTTTTTGGTTTACATTTATTATTTAAACAGTGCTACAGTAAACATTCTTGTAATTGGCAATTTTGGCCAATTATTCCTTAAGTTCTAAATACTAGTAATTGCCAAGTATTTCTAAAGTACACAATTAAAAGTGAAACAACTGGTTTTAGGGTTTTGTGTACTTGCAACTTTGTGATATACCAACGAATTGCTTTCCAATGTGAATGTGCCAGTTTACACACAGAACATCAGCGTATGAAAGTTCCAGTTGCTTTATATCCTCACCAGTGCTTGCTTTTATCAGATTTTAAAGAGTTTTTTGAATCTAAGTGAAGCAGCATATAATTGTTTAAATATACACTTCTCTCATTATTACCAGGGTTGACCATTTTTTCATATGTTTATTTGCTATTTGCCATTTGTTTTCCTCTGAAGGAAGTACCTACCACTTTACTTCCCGTGAATTGCCTATTTACATTTCTTTTTCTTTTTTCTATTGTAGTTTTAAAATCTTATTTTATTAACTTGGAGTATTTTGTATATTCTTGTATTAGTCCTTTGTCACCTATGCAGGTTGCATATCTCACTCTGACACACAGCTCATCTTTTATTTTGTAATAAGTCTTGATATCTGGTAGGACTGTATTCCCAAACTTCTTTAACATTGCTTTGTTTTTGTTCTTTAACAATTTTATATTAAGCTTCTCCTATTTTATGA